TGCTCTAATATAGCAAGCTATCATGACCCAAGGATGGAGCTACCAAGAAGGGCAATAAAAGCACCTAAGATGAACATTCCCATCAATGCTTCAACCTTTACAATTGTGAGTCTTCATATTTTAAGGCTTATTGATGGCATAATTGAATACAAGGTGAAGTCTAAGGAGGTTTGTTAGCTTTTTACAAGTGCTAAGGCTGTTCTTCCTACCACAACACAAGAGATTTATGAGTACAAGCTTCAAGAGCTAGTTTCTAATGTCCTTACATTCAACATCACCAAAGGGACAAGCTAAAATTCACCATCAAAAATTCAACTCACCATGGCTGGTGACACTAATAGAGAAGGGACTTTAGTTCCACTCCATGTCCATCCTAATGCCTAAAAGGTTTGAAAAGTCAAGCTTAGTGATTTTAAATAAACGCATTTGGGAAGCATTCACATGCTTATTCTTGTATATATTATTTCTTGCTGCTTCTATTAATGTGTTTGTGAATGTTGATATTGATCAGGTTCAAAATCAAATAGCTGCGCCTAAGTAGAAGAAGCTTGCAAGACTAGTAGAGCCAAGCCAATGCAGACTAGGGTCATTGCAGCCAAAGGCGCTAACGGTGGCCACCCAAGGGCCACTCATGACCAAAGCAGTACAGGCAATCAAGGCTGAAAACCCCGAGGATTGGTGCGATTTGGCGGTGCAAACTAGAGACGTCACGGTCGAGAGTGTAACAAGGCTGCGGACAGGCAAACTGCGTCGAGGCATGGAATGGCAACACTTTTTCCCTAGCTTGCTTTAGCTTTTCCCACTTCCCTGTCCTTTAGAAATTATCTGGTCTGGATTCTCCCTCCACATATCCCATAATTCACTGTCTCCTCTTCCATTCAGGTCTAAAGAGGTACCACTCCAAAATCATTATAAATATCATGCATTTTTATGTTCTCTTATTTTTGTCATTTTGATTTGTTATCTTTTGAACTTTTATTATACAAGGGACTGTAATTTAAGTTTGGAGGAGAGTGTGAGACACTTAACATTGCGTTTTGTGTTTCTTATTTTATATTCATTGCATATTTGAGTCTCATGCATCCATGCATACATTTAAGGCATAAAAACAACAAACAAACAAAAAAATAGAAAAGTTTAAAATCCTTAAAAAGAGTGTGAACATTTAGTTTCATTTATATATTTAGGATTGACTCTAGATGCATCTTATATAAATATATTTTCATAGGGAGCAATGATGAGTTTTTCCTTGTAATATGCTAATTTTTTAGATGAAGTCATTACCCATGTTTGTAATTGTTTGATGCATTCGGATGAGTTTGAAATTAATATAGCACCACACTTATTCCATGTCTTGTATTTCTTCTTCTAGTTAAAACTTCCTTTAATTTGAATCCATCTATGTATTAATGCCACTAATCTTAACTTGAATGATTATGCTTTGCTTTGAAAAATTGAACTCATAGATACCATATACATACTTAGGCTATCTTCTTCTATTTTACCACTCTTGTTAGTCCAAGTAGCTAATCCTTATATTTGGGACAGTTACCCCATCCTTAACCAAAACATTCTTTCATCCCATAAACTATATGTGTGTGATTGTGAGGCCTTTATGCATTTTTATGAAGTTATCTAGGCAAAAATTATTGAGTTTACACTGACAAGAAGAAGCTTTCATGTAGACACTAGCTGGCATCTTGAGCTACTACTAGGTTAGGGGTTTGTTGGGTAGACTAGTGTGGAATTGTGTTCAATGTTTATACCAAGGAAGAAGAAGATGTGTGTATGCGCCATGAAGCAAAGGGAGAAGTGATTGGGGAGTGCAATTAAAGAGGTGACTGGCAACAAAAGAGGCTCTGAGTTTCAAAAGAAGGAAGGTGGTCTCTAAGTGCATAATAAAAAGCATCAAAATGATGATCCAAAGGAGACACCACAAAAAAAAAAAGCTAAGCAAGAAGAGAGCAAGAAAGCCAATTCACTAAAAACCAAGGAGAAGAAGAATTTTCCAAGACTTACAAGAAGGTGATGCATTGTGTGGTTTAAGAAGGCAAGAAATCCTTGGGAAAAAGGTAGTTGAAGGGTTTAATCTTTGGGTTTAATGTATAGATTAGGTCCATTTGGGCACTTAGGTGTATGGAAGTCCTCCTTGTATGTATCAATTGGATTTTACTCTTAGTATTTTGCCATAGATTACTTCATAATCATGAGAGATCCCCTTTACATCTAAAATACACCCATACATTGATATCATTTTTATCTCAAAGCCTTATCCCTTAACCAAGTGAGTTCTCTTGACATTTCAAAGCATGATCCATGGTTACAACTTAAATGAATGTTAAAGGAATGGAGCATATGAATGCTTGTGTAGGCTAGACTTAAATTCTTTTCATGATGTGATGAGTGTGACTAATCTTTTTGAAATAAAATAAACTCAAGTGCAACCTAAAACTTTAATTTGGACAATGATTTGATTTCTTTTATTTGCATTTTTGGATTTGAGCTCTCCCACTTTCAAACCTCTTCTCTAACTTTTTATTATGTGTTTGCTTGAGGGCAAGCAAAAGACATGTCATGTTTGGGGAGTTGATAGTTGCATTATTTTCATGATTTTAACATTAATTTAAGTAAATGCTTATCTTATTTCATAAGTTCATTTATATATTTTAGGCTTGTTTGCACCTTTTTTAGACTTTAGATCATATTAGCGCATTTTGTGCTGCATTTGCATTGTTCCTCAGGTTATTTGGAGGCTTTGGAGACTTAAGGGAGTCTATGGGTGATCAAGGGAGCAAGAAAAGCCAAGGAGAGAAGCGAAAAACAGCATAACAAATAATGTTTGTAACCAGCACGGGCAGCAGCACATATAGCTAGGTCGCAACCAAGGTCCTGGGCTGAGCTTCAGGACACCACACGCAGTTAAAACTGCGGCTTATGAATGTCTGAAAACCAGGGACTTGGTGCAGAGAGACCAGGCTGCGGTCAAGGACGCGACCTTAGCTTCAAGGCAGTGTAGATGGCCAAACTGCGGCCTGCAAACCAGGGGCTCGGTGCAGATAGGGGGCGCAGACAAACCAGACTGCGCCAGACCAGACCTAGACCCAAACCCGGTCAAAGCCCAGCTAATCCTGGTGGACCCGAGATGGTTTATTGTTCACTATATAAGCCTAAAACCTAATTTTTATGGCTTGTCCTATCTTTTATCTTAAAACCTAGACCCAAACTCGGCGCATATGGGGGAGCGGAGAGACCAAACCGTGCCAGGCCATACCTAGATCAAAACTCGGTCAAAGCCCAACTAATACAAGTTGGTACAAGATGGATTATTGTTTACTATATAAGCCTAAGACTTTTTCTTCTTTCTTATCCCTAATCATGCTTATTCATACTTCTACCATTAGATTTGTGGGTTTTAACATAATTTGTGAGTAGTTTTATTTGTAGTTTAAGGATGGGTTAGATTAAAGTAAGATTAGAATATATCTTTGATGTTTATGACTTAAATACAATATATCATTTCTTACTTAGTGGTTTTAATGCTAGATTTGTTTTAATCATGTTGATTTAGTCCTGATATTTCTCACCTATAAAGAGTTTGATGAAATGCCTCAACCAACTAAGTCAAGAGATTTACATTTCTAGCTCATAATAATGAATGTTTGGTGTGTTTATTGGATTTATAGAACTAATTTCATACTTGTTGATTATATTTTCGCTAATGATGATTAGATCTTTGTTAAGATATCTAAAAAAGTGATTAGAGCTATGAGATTGGATTAGTCTTGTTTAAAAGTTCTATGCCTAAGTATTAGTATTATTATGATTGTTTGAACATCTTAGATTGTTTCTATGATCACCTAAAGTCAATAACTCCATCCTTAGATCCATTTTCCTTATTTGATCATCTTATTTAGTAATTACTTTATTTTTGCTTGATTAAATTTATTTGCTTAAGTGTTTGGGTTTACTTGATGCTAGTCTTGCGTTTTTGTTTATTAGGGTGCTAGAAACACAAACAAATCTTTGATATGGTTTGAATTAAAGGCTCTCATGATTCTTCACAACTATCCTCATAGGTTGATAACATTAAACATTACAATGATATGAATAGATTTGAGTAATTGTTTATTAGCAAAAACATCTGCTAGTAACACCTTATTATTTTTTGATCTCCTTACTTTTCGGAACCACAGATCCATCCAGTGTCCATTTCTTCTTGAACCTCTTCATTTAACCTCTTCACTTGGTTTGTCTTTCCCAACAATCGTAGTCAGATCCGAATCTCTTTTTTCATTTCAAGAAATCTCTAGTTTCACAAAAAGAGATGAAAAGAAAAAAGACGTTTGGTTAAAAATTTACAGTTTTTAGGTTTTAATCCAAAATGACCCGTATGAATTGGGTTTGGATGAATTTTGGTTGGTTCGATCGGTAATTTTTAAAATAATTAAAAAATAGCAATGTGATCAATTTGTTTTTGAAATAAAAAAAATAAATCAAAACGAAATTTATTTTAAAAAGGAGATATTTGAGATTTGGTTTTGTGTTGGAGAGGCATATGAAATAAATCCTCCGAGGAAAGTATGAAACTACACCTTTTAAACTTTGGCAAATAAACATACAATTGATAGCTTAATTTGTCTAACATTAACTTTATAAAAGGTTTGAACATTTTATTTAGAGACGGCGGGTTATGTCTGTCCCTGAAGTGAAAATTTTAATGGCAAAAGCATAAGTATAACAAGTCGGGTGCAGTTTTAGACTTCATCACGTTGGTCTTTTGGAAGGCAGCATACAAAAATTATAAGATAGTAATCAAATGATTAGGTCAATTTAATTTTAAACAGTTGCACTATAAAAGCAAGACTTCAAATTCGGAAGTGAGAATGTTCCTTTATTTGTTTTCAGATGAGGAAAAAATGAATTGGACCCTTGCTTGTCTTTTAAGCAGAGAACATACAAGAAAAACTAAATGAAAGTAAGAAAGAGAGGTAAACCATTCATCACATCCTGGAGATCTGGAGAGGTACAGTTGCAGATTCGAGGATATCACTATTTCTCATTAGAGAAACAAGTTTGAGTTTCTCCCAAGCACCGAGGCGTTCGAAGATATACCTCTGACAATTCTGAGAGGCAGAGACTCCTGCTAAGAAAGCTCCATGAGCTGATCCTTGATGCTCGACGTTCACAGCTTCTCCTCCAAAGAATATGTTATCAACGGGCTCTCCTAGCCTAGCGTATAGATCTTCCGGCATACCAACCACGTCGTAGGCGTAACACCCTAATGTGTTAGGATCCGAACCCCACCGTGTCACTAGATATTGAGCCTGCATTTTGCGTTTGTAACCAAAAGAACTCTTTGAGTGTTTCCGAAACATATGACTGAGGGGTGTTCAATCCGTATTTCCTTTTGGTTTCGGATCGGTTTTATGGTTTTTAGGTTTACAAATAATTATTCCCTACGTTTCAAGAAAATGTCGTTTTACGTTTTATTTTGTTTCACAAAATGTGTGGTTTTATATTTTCAAAATGGAAAATTTTGAATAAAAAATCAGGTTTTTCTCCTATTGATTTAATCTATTAATGAAAAAAGATAAATTTATTTAATATCTTCATAAGGGGCTATTAAAAAAAAAAAATTTCATGATTTCTCGAATGTGTTAAAACAGAAGAAATATATTTAAAATAAAATTGAATATATTATGGGTAGTTTGATTTGGATTCGGTTTTTAGTAAAATACATTATTAATTTTCAAAAACAAAATCGACTTAACTCGGGTTTTTTCTTTTTAAGTTTCGGTTTTCGGTTTTTTTTTTTGTTATAGAAAAAGGGAATCAATTTAAACCGAAATGGTTCGATTTTTGGATCGGTTATTTCGGGTTGGTTCGGTTCATCCAGTTTGAACATCATTCAACATTGTGCAATATGAAGATGATGATGATAAGATTTGCTTACCGGATCAGGTGCGTCAGGAAACATTTTCTTAAGTTGCAGCATGACGAAATTCGCTGTAGCTTCATCGGAGAGCTTTTCCAGGTCTTTGGCTAGATTCCCTGCAGCCATGTACACAAGAACCGGATGGCCCGTAGCCTTGTGAAGATTCAAGAAATAGCCACATGCGTAAGAAGTCGGTGCCACCATCCCCAAGAACTCAACATTGGGCCAAAACACTTTGTCAAATCTCAGGGCGATCTTGTTCTCGTTGCCTACGCCGAGATCCGATATCGCGGAGGTCTTCCATTGTGGTAGCTCTGGCTCAAAATGAATCAGGTTCGCCTTTAGAACACCGATCGGAACCGTGATGATAACAGCGTCGGCTACGAAATTGGTTCCCTCTTCGACTTCTACCATCACCTTGTCATTAGATGTTCTTGATACTTTAGTAACCCTGTGTGAATACAATTTTCAAGAAGATGTGATTACATTCAAGAAAGATATCTTAACGTTACATGTATAAGTATAACAACATCATAGGCTGATTTTAATTACCTATGGCTTAAGCGAATATCAATGTCTTTTGCAAGTGTTCTAATCACTGGCTCGTAACCTTGCACCATTAGACCATGACCACCTGAAAGACATTCATCCTGCACAAAGATAACTATTTTGAGCTTCATTGGTAAGTTAAGATGTCAAGATACAAGCCTATATTACAATATTTGCTTCTGCCAATAAACAGAGTAACATAATTTTCTAACAAACCATTAATACAACAATAAGAAATTCTTATATATGGAAGTATATGTTCAGATAGCTAGTGACTCTAAAAGAGTCATATATATTAAACCATACTCAGATCAAACAGAGAAAAGAATAAGTTTGCTTGCCTGATCCCAACATTTTAGCGATATCAAATTCGCATCCACGGCAAACCACGCTTCCATTCTACATATGTACCACTGCAAGACTTCGTATGCCATCCCTTCTTGCCTAAGATAATACAGGAAAGCATGCAAGAGGTTATAATAGATACATAAATTTAAAAAGTAAAAATGCACCTTGAGAATGTGTTACCTTAGTTCTGGATTTCTTTCTAGGACGATGGATATTCCTTGAAGAACAGACATGTCATTGGCGGTTTCATCCCTTATTTTCTCCGTCTGGAATCAACAAGGGGATATAAGCACTCTTGTGACAAATGATGGTAACTAGAAAATCCAATTTAGCAAAAAACAAAGATCTACCTCTTCGAGAATTCTCTTAAATGCAACTCCAACTTCAGTGACCAACTTCGCCGGAATTTTATTCCCATACATGTCATAAAGTCCATAACTGAAAAACGAAAGACAAAATTTTCCTTATAAATATTTCAAATTAATATGTTCACAGGCTTTGAAACCAGTCTACGACTCTTCCCTACTTAATCAAGCTTTGAAACAATCAGCTAAGTTGTTAAACAGAGCACTGGTGTGACTGATATATAAAGTACAGCACTTCTGCCACTTGTAAAAAAAACAACGGAACAGAGTGAAACCATAAGATCTAGGAGACACATACAGAGACGTAAAGGCAGAAAAGGGTTACCTTTCCAGATCATGATCATATAAGATGGAGTCATCCCCACTAGTTCGGTATAAAGTCAGCCCTAGACGGCGTATAATTGGAGCCAAGGGGTTCTCGTTGGAGACTCCATGTAACCTAAGACCATGTTCGAAAAATGGTTAGCAAACTCATAAAAATAAAGGCACTTTAAAATGTACACACATCTCATTTTGATTCTTCTCAGAACAACTCGACATTCCAGAACAACAATACTACAAATCAAACATCTGATTCTCCTACATACACAGATGCTGCTCAAATTGAGATACAAAGATGATCAAACTCACCATGAAGCTCCCATATCAACAGGACAACCAAAGGAATAATCCGTGTGGATGCGACCACCAATCCTATCGCGTGATTCAAGAACCGTCACCTTAAAACAAGCTTCAGAGAGATTCCTAGCAGCAGCAAGACCTGATATACCACTGCCGATCACGATGACAGAAGGCTGCACATTGTTCTGCTTCTGGATAAGCGCAGAGATTTTGCCTGCTTGAATGTTTAAATACATTTTAGAAATTCGTAATTCTATCAAATGGCACACATCAAACATAACAAGATTTTATCCCAACCACACAAATTTTGAAATCTATTGATAAATTAGAACCAAATTCCTCTACAATGTTGAATCACGCAAATCACAATTACGAAAAGGTAGAAAACAGATAGATCTGATTGAATTGGATAAGGAATCGTTAAAATCTATCTTGATTTATTCGAATACAGATATTATCGAAACCGCAATGCATAATCTCAAAAGCGAGTAACAGTCGCAATTACCTTCAGGAAGATTTTCCGGAAACAAAATCTTCTTATCCATTGAAGATTGAAGGAAAGAAATAGACAGAGAAAGTTCCGAAATTCGTAAACGAACGGTATCAAACGCGCAGTCGAAAAATCCGAGTAAATTCAATAAGACGATCGATTAAAGATGAAATTGGAAAATCTGCAAAGATCGGAGAAGAAGCAACGGAGCTTATCGGACCAACGCATCTTCAAAACGCGTGATCGAATTATTCAATAACGACGATTCAAAAACGAATAGAACTTTGAGATTGGAAATCGAAAGAGGACAAGAGAGAATGGCGTCGTTCCCGCAGATTTTGAAGTTCCGTGATCGGTGCATTGTTTTCTTCTAATAGGAATTTTTTTTTTTTTGGTATGTGTTTTCTTTTAGAAGATGATGAGCATGAAGAAGAAAGGTGAAACGAAGACGGAAGTTGTGACTTGTTGATTCGGTATCAACGAGGGTCGAGTCGTCAGATAGCTGATAACCTTTTATAGCGCTGGTGCCGACTAATTCAGATTTTTTTTCCCATGAAGAGTGAAATGACCGTTTTAGCCCTGTATTTTTGTTTTGTTTTGTTTTGGTTTATTCTCTGATCAATGTTCTTTCCTTTTTGGATACTTTATGAAATTTTTAAGGGAAAATTTAGTAGATAGTCTAAAATAATATTAAAATAAAAAAATAAAATTAATAATTAAAAATTAAAAATTAGGTTGATATTATTTTATTTTTATAATTATTTGATACGGTTTGAATAGATAGCAATTCGATTATTATGCTAACTGATATAATATTGTGATAATTGTGTTAACTATACTAACTAATATGATGCTTGATTAGCAAGTTAAAATAATAGCACGTTAACACAACAGTTATCATGTTAATTGTGTTACTATGCTAACTAATATGATGCTCGATTAGCACATTGTACAAATAATATATATTGTGTTAACGTTGCTATTATTTCATGAAAATAGGAGTTAACGTTGTTAACTGTATAAGTTATGCAAAATTATCATGTTAATAATGTTATCATACCAACAAATTATCATACTAACATTGTGAGCATATTAACTATCATGTCACCACCAGCACCACTTATACCCACCACCACCACCACTGATGCTATCACCACCATCGCCATCGCCGACACCACCACCACCACCATCGCCATCACCGACACCACCACCATCACTACCGGCATCGCCATCACTTCTATCACCGGTGACTCCATCACCACCACCGGCGACTCCATCACCAACACCACCATCAACATCACCCCATCATCGACCACCATCACCACCGCTGGCGACTCCATCATCACCACCGACCATCCCCATCATCAAGAAAAACACCACTATCACCAATAACTATCACCATTGCCACCATCGATAACCCCACCATCACCATTGCTGTTTTTTGTAATTATTCCTACCCACCACAATCACCATCGCTAGGGAATTTATATAGAAGAGACACACAAACAAATTTGTAAAGAAGTTTACCATCACCAACACCACCAACAACAGTATCCTCATCATTACCACCACCACTGCCGCCAGCGACTCCATCACCACTACAACTGACAACACCATCACCACCACCTATCATTACCAACACTACCACCAACACTATCCTCATCATCGACCACCACTACCACCACCACTACCGGCTACTTCATCATCATCATCGACCACATTTCTCTTTTTTGTTCCTCTTTGTGAAGAAATGAGAGAAGAAAGAGAATGAAAAAAACAATAAGATGGAAGGACTATATCGTCTTTCTATTTGCAACTGTATCATGTAAAAGCTGTCAGAAGTTGTCATCTAATTTCCTTATTATTTGAGTATATTTCTTAGTATTACTCTATTTTTAATTATATGATTATAATAGTAAAAAGCTCATGAAGTTTCAAAACTGATGTTGATGTCTATGGATCGTCTACTATGAATAGAAATATTTTAATGGGTGGTTGATCCAACTTAACTTTTAGCTCATTTGAGTTAATGATTTTAATGCTAAAAAATTCAGTCCATTTATTTTCTTTTTAAAATAATCTAGATTATTTAGTATAATTTGAAAAAAATTAGAGAAGGTTTAACTTAATAGAAATGTTGTGACATACATTCTGCATTTAAATAATATTAGCATAATTTACTTTTATAGTATATTAATTTTAATTGGTAAGGTAACTCAAGATTATTATAGGTTTAATACAACACATATAAATCCTAGTTAAAAACTTTTATTGTGGACTAATTCATTCTCATGGAACTAATCTTTTTGACTTATCATATTTCAAACATATAGTCAATGGTGTATATATGACAAGCAAGCATTCAATCACAAAATCTATAATACTAAAAAGCATGCTAGATATCTAATTTCTTAGGCTAGGTTTACTAATCTTTTGTGAAATAGATCAAATATTAACTCATATTCTCATGCATAATCAACATTTAAAAGCAGTTTCTCCACCACTGTGGTACTAAGCATTAAGTACATTCAAGCAAGAAATGATAGATGCAAAGACTCGTGATTATCTAAACACCATTTTAAAGTATTGAACTTCAATTAGACATTTCATCGAACACATAGAGTGCAAATGAAAACCTAAGATCAACTTTACCAATAAAGAAGTACTTGACATTAAACAGAATCACACAAGAAGAGAAATGTAAAGATCTAACACCTTAAATAATCATTAAAACCACTATAATCTTCTTTAATCTCAAACCTAAAAATTACAACTCACTAATCATGCTCAAATCCACAAAAATGTGACTAATGATTAGAAATTGGATAAGCAAGAAAGATTAAAAGAAAAATGCAAACCTCGATTAAGAAGAATGATCCAAAATCACAAATTTTTTTTTTGTTCTTGAAAGAAAGATAGATAACAAAAAGATAAGATAATGGATAATGGATCACCCTTAAGGTTATTTGGTTTAACTATTTATAGGGAAGACCCCTAAAATGAGCTTGGTAAAGAAAATAGAAAAAATCAAAGATTGGTCAAAGTTTTAGTCAACACTCGGATGAAATGCATCGGGTATGGAAGGAATGAGGCCTACACGGTGCATCTGCTCGGTGCAATCGCCTAATTGTACAGGGGCTTGGTATAATCGCCATACTCCTTAACTCCGTATCCGAATGACATGAATTTTCCACCATTCGAAAGCTAGTTCAAGCATCTACAACATTTCTGAAGAGTGTCAAGGCTGAAACGTAGCGGAAAGCCTTCGTACGGACTGATATATTACTCGCATCCAGTTGCACCGAGCTGGCAAGGACGTGGCCTGCATGATGTACGACTGTCTCTCCTCAGTGCAATCGCCACCGACCAGGGACCTCGCTGTGGACATTGTTGTTGCTTCAAAACACCTTGGCATCATTCTCATTGCGTGGTGTTTTGACTCTAAATGATCTACCATCCTCCAATAAGTCTCCTTAACTCCAAAAACACCTGAAATGCACTCCATATGGAACAAAGTATGCAAATCTAACCTTAAAACACACTAGTCCTAATATGAATACAAATGAGACTCTTTGGACAACTTATTTGGATGAAATGATGCAAAAAAATACAACATATGATGCTCATAATGATGTAAATATGTAAGCTATCACCTTACCATTCATTACCCAAGCTTCTCCACTTAGCTATTCAACGAAAAAAACATATAAATTAAGAAGAAGACTTCAACAAGAACTCGTTCTAATAACAAAACTTGGAGTTAAACTCAACCGCCACAACAAGAAGTTCAACACTCAACATATAGATAAAGGTGAATTGGTAGTGGTGAATTCTCGATTCAAATCCAATATCACTGTACTGACCAAGGTAAGTCTAGTACTTCTCAAAGATATCATTACATTATTTGCTATAAATGTCAAGGCAGTGGGCATATATCGGGAGAATGTCCTAATAAGAGAATCTGAATCACCACTCGTGATGGATATGATTCATTAGATGAAATATTGATGAAGGCATCACTATATATGTTATAGAATGTGAGCTTTTAATCATTCAAAGAGCACTAAATTCACAACCAATACTAGAAGATCAAGAACAAAGAGATAACTTATTCCACTCTCGATGTACAATCAAATATAAGGTATGTCATTTGAATATTGATAGTGGTTCATGTGCTAACATTGCTAGTGTTTCTTTAGTTGAGAAGCTTAAACTCCCTACAATACAACATCTGAAGCCCGACAAACTCAAATAGCTCAATGACAAAGAAGAGCTAAAAGTGTCTAAGCGAGTAGAAGTTCCATTCTCCATTGGCCAATACAAGGATCAAGTCTTGTGTGATGTTGCACATATGCAAGCAGGCCATGTTTTGCGAGGACGACCTTGGCAATATAAATAAGATATCTGTCATAATGGCCGTACAAACGAGTACTCCTTCAGCATCAACAACTGTAAGTTTATTCTTTCCCCATTAGCCCAAAGAAAATTCCTTGGTATGCAAGTCAGAACAAAAACAGATACTAAAGCTAAAGCAAGTTATTTTGCTATACAAGATCCATTGTAATTTGTATAATGCATTTGTCTTCTCTAAATGAGTTCTATGCAGGTTTTAAAGGTCAAGAACACCAAAATATGGAGTACAAGGATAAAACATGGAGTACAAGGATGAGAAAACCCCAAAAACTGAGCTAAAACCCACATTGGAGCTCAAGGCAGCTCAAAACATTCCATATACCCTATTGATCGAGCACTTAATCTCCAACAAATCAATTAGCAAGGTAAGTTCCTAAACCCACATATTTGCAAAGAAACTAACTTACCTTATCTTGGTGCAGAAAAAATGGGTCAAGGGCGAAACCTTTTCAAGAGAGAGGGTATGATGAGGATATCAGCCTCAATCCAATCGGACCAGATGATGAAAGCGACACTAGAGCTAAACTAGAGGTTTAAGAAGAGCCTTTGGACGAGATCAATGGGATTGAAGATATAACAATGAAACTTCACCCTACAACGTACCAAGGAAAACATTTTGGTCAAGTTAGACCACCCCCAGCT